AGCTTTGAGCTTGTGGTTCAGTATACTATAGTGCCGCACCAGTACTCCATTATAAATTTGTTGTTGTTGTTAAGTGTCATCGAGTCGATTTCAACTCAGATTGTCTCTGTATAGGGTTTCCGAGGAATGGCTTGTAGCTTTGAGCTTGTGGTTCAGTATACTATAGTGCCGCACCAGTACTCCATTATAAATTTGTTGTTGTTGTTAAGTGTCGTGGAGTCGGTTCCAACTTATAGCAACCCTGTATAGGGTTCCCAAGGAACTTGAACTGCTGAACTTGTGGTTCACAGTCCAATGCTGATCCTACAGCACTGCACCAGGTGCTTAATAAATATTTAGGAGTCCCCAGGTGACAAAAACGGGTACATGTGGCGCTGTGGATTAATGCACTGGACTGCAAAGTCAGTTTGAACTACAAGGTTAGCGGTTCAAGCTCACCAGCCACTCCTTGGGGTCGTCATGGGTTGGAACTGACTCAACAGCACTTAACAACAACAGCAATAACAACAACAACTCAACTCCTAACCAGAAGGTTGGCAGTTGAAATCACCCAGAGACACCTTGAGAGGAGGGCCTGATGATTTGTTTCTGAAAGATCGCAGCCTTGAGCCCTCGGAAGTTCTATCCCACAACTCATGGAGCTGATAGCATCAGAATTAACTCAACAGTAACTGGTTTGGTTGGGTTTGATTGCTTGTTGAAAAAATAAATATTTATTATGTTCAGCTTGATTCTACAAAGCACCTTGCCAAAAGCTTCCTTGTAGTCCAGGCAGGTGAGTGTCGGCCTGGAGGTGAGCTTGCTTAGTTTCTGGCCTCTCCCCTTCTAGGTCTGCTCTCTATCCCCAGGTTAAAGTTCTATCCTGATCTCTCCCACTTTCCTCTCTCAGTGCGATGATCCACCTTCTCTCTTCAGGTAGCAGCAGGCACTGTGAGGAAGGCAGATATGATGGGAGGCAGAGACCCTGGCTGTGGTCTTTGATCTGCTGCACACAGTCAGTGAAATCACTGAGGGCGAGCGGGGATGTTCTCTGAGGCAGCATCCTCCCTGGCATTTGAAGTTCCTCTTGAGCAGTAACTTCAGTTGCTAAGATTGCTGTGTACAGAGTTTGGGCACAGCAGACAAGGCTCTCTTAGTAGCTTCTGTAACTTCAGAAGATGAGATTTGGATCGTTCACTAAATTTGTCCATTTGTACAATGAGCAAAGGCCCCAAGAAAGTAGCAGTGAATGAATAGTGTTGTTGTTCCAACTCATAGTGACCCTATGTACAACAGAAAGAAATAAAGCCCTGTCCTGAGCCATCTCCACAATTACACTTGAGCCCATTGTTGCTGCCACTGTGCCAATCCATCTCATTAGGGGTCTCTGTCTTTTTCACTGTCCATCCACTTTACCAAGCATGATTATCCTTCTCCAGGGACTGGTCCCTCCTGATAATATATCCGAAATGGAAGAAATGCAGTCTAGCCATCTTGGTTTCTAAGGAACATTCAGGCTGTACTTCTTCCAACACGGATTTGTTTGTTTTTCTGGCAGTCCATGGTATCTTTAATAATCTTCTCCAACATCATAACTCAAATACATCAAATAGTCTACGGTCTTCCTTATTTATTGTCTGATTTTTCACGTGCATATGAAATACCATGACTTAGGTCAGATGCACTTTAGTGCTCAAGCTTACAACTTTGCTCTTGAATACTTTAAAGAAGTCTTGTGCAGCAAATTTGCCTAATGCAACACCTTCATTGATTTATTGACTGCTGTTTCCATGAGTGTTGATGGTTGATCTGAGCAAAATGAAGTCTTTGATAACTTCAATCTTTTCTCCATTTATCATGTTGTTACTTATTCCTCCAGTGAAGATTTTGGTTTTCTTTATATTGAGGTGCAACCCATACCATAGGCTGGTCTTTGATCTTCATCAGCGAGTATTTTAAGTTCTCTTCACTTTCAGCAAACAAGGTTATATCATCTGCATATCCCAGGTTGTTAATGAGTCTTTTTCCAATCCTGATGCCACATTCTTCTTCATACAATCCACTCAGATTATTTGCTCAGCATATAGATTGAATAAATGAGGTGAAAGAATACAACCCTAGTCACACCGTTCCTAATATTAAACCATTCAGTGTCCCCTTGTTCTGTTCAAACTGCCTCTTGGTCTATGTACAGGTTCCTCATGAGCACAATTTAGTGTTCTGGAATACTCATTCTCTGCAGTGTTGTACATAGCTTGTCATGATCCACACAATAGAAAACATTTGCATAGTCAATAAAACACAGGTTAACCTATTTCTGGTATTCTCTGCTTTCATCTATTATCCATCTGATATGTCAGCAATGACATTCCATGTTCCATATCCTCACCTGAATCTGGCTTGAGCTTCTGGCAGTTCCCTGTCGATGTACTATTGCAGCAATTTTTGAATTATCTTTAGCAAAAATTTACTTGCCTGTGTTATTAATGATATTCTCCAATGATTTCTTCATTCCATCGGGTCATTTCTCTTAGGAATGGGCACAGATACAGATCTCTTTTGATCAGTTGGCCAGGTAGCTGTCTTCCAAATTTTTTGGCATAGAGGAGTGAATGCCTCCAGTGTTACATCAGTTTATTGAAATTTTTCAGTTTGTATTCCATCAATTTTCAGAACCTCGTTCTTTGCCAATGCCTTCAGTGTTCTTTGCCAATGTGTTTCTCTCCGGCAGCTTCCGTTAGCACCACTGACTCTTGATCATATGCTACCCCTTGAAATGGTTGAACATCGTTCTTTTTGGTACAGTGACTCTGTGTATTCCTTCCATCTTCTTTTGATGCTTTCAGCATCATTCAATATTTTGCCCATAGAATCCTTCAGTTATTTTAAGTCAAGGCTTGAATTTTTTCCTTAGTTCTTTAAGCTTGAGAAATGCTAAGCTTGTGCTTCCTTTTTGGTTTTCTAACTCCAAATCTTTTCACATTTCATTATAGTATTTGACTTTGTCTTCTTGAGCTGCCCTTTGAAATTTTCTATTCAGTTCTTTTACCCCCTCATTTCTTCCATTTACTTTAGCATCTCTATGCTGGGGAACAAGTTTCAGAGTCTCTTCTGACCTCCATTTTGGTCTTTCTCTTTCTTCCTTGTCTTCTTAGTGATTTTCCCTTTCTTCTTGTTTGATGTTCTTGGTGGCATCCCACAACTCTTCTGGTCTTCTGTCTTTAGTGTCTAATATATCTAATCTGTTCTAAAATAGTCTCTAAATTCAGATGGGATATGCTCAAGGTCAAATTTTGGCTCTCATGGGGTTGTTTCACTTTTCTTGAGCTTCAGTTTGAACTTGCCTATGAGCAATTGATGGTCTGTTCCACAGTCTGTCCATGGTATTGTTTTGGCTGATGATATGAAGCTTTTCCACCATCTCTGTCCACAGATGTAGTCAATTTGATTTCTGTATATTCCATCTGGTGAAGTCCATGTATATAATCGTCTTTTATGATGTTTAAAAAGGTATTTGCAATGAACAAGTCATTGGTCTTTTAAAATTCTGTCATACAATCTCCAGAATCATTTATATTACCAAGGACATATTTTCCAATATCTTCTGTGTTTCTAATCTTTGCATTCCAATCATCAATAATTAACAAACATCTTGATTGCATGTTTGGTCAATTTCAGACTGAAGAAGCTGGTAGATTTCTTCAATTTCATCATCATTGGCTTCAATGGTTGGTGCATACATTTGAATAATAGTTGTATTAACTGGTCTTCCTTGTTGGCGTATGAATATTGTCCTACCACAGACAGTGTTGTACTTCAAGATTGATCTAGAAATGTTTTTTTTTTTGATGATGAATTTGATGCCATTTCTCTTCAATTTGTCATTCCCTGCATAGTAAACCATGTGATTGTCAGATTCAAAATGACCAATACCAGCCGATTTCAGCTCACTAATGCCTAGAATATCGATGTTTATACATTCAATTTCATTTTTGACAACTTACAGTTTTCCTAGATTCATACTTCGTATAATCCATGTTCCAATTATCAGTGGATATTTGCAGCTGTTTCTCTTCATTTGAAGTTGTGCCTCATCAGCAAATAAAGGCCCTGAAGATTTTCATTTCAGTGAATGAATGATCATCTTTCAAATGTGAAATGAGGCGTATGTGCTTAAGTATGGTTATGAATGAACCGTGCCTATATGTGTGTGTATTCTGGGTGGCGAGTTTGTACCAGTCTCTCTACACTTGTGCAGTATGTATAAGTGGAATTGTGAGCTCCTGGCTTCCTCTCACTTGTAGTTAACTGTCGTTGAGTCCATTTTCACTTAGGGTGAATCACGTGACAGTAGAACTGTTCCATAGCATTTTGGAGGCTGTAATCTGTACGGGAGGTCATTAGGTCTTTCTCTCATGGAACCTTTTTTCTACAGATCTTCAAATCACCAAGCTTTTCATTAGCAGCCAAGCCGTTGCACTTCCAGGGCTCCTTCCCCTCTCCTGAGCCCCTCAATAAGGGCTCTGGACTTGCCCCTGGCAGGAAAAGAGAAAGTCATTTAAAATGCAGTCACTACTCCACTTCCAAGGAGCTCTGATAGAGAAGTGGTTACGAATCGGGCTGCTACCAGTGTTTCCATGGGAGAAAGATGAGGCTTTCTGCTCCCGTAAAGATCTACAGCCTTGGAAACCCTGTGCAGGGTCACTATGAGTCGGAACCGACTCCACAGTACTTAACAACAACAACAACTCCACCTCTTAGTTTTTAGCTTACAAGTTGACATCTTAAAAATATTTCATCACATTTGTTTCTCCAATAGTTTTCAAAGCAACTGTCCATATATATCTAACTGGTAACAATAAATTTAAAAAAAAAAAATGTGCGTACATTTTCATGCCTGTCAGAAAGGCCAGTCTCACTGTGACCCTTAACCTCAGATTCAGGATTTGAAGCCTGACCTGTATATACCTTAACCTCAGATTCAGGATTTGAAGCCTGACCTGTATATATGTTTTTTGCAGGTCAAAACAGCGGGACTTGGGAATCCAAGTTACCTTCTTCACCTGTTGCGCCATCCCCACTGCCAAGGGCCGGGTGAGTACCTGTGACAGAGAAGAAGCCAAGAGAAAGAGACCCAGAGATCACCAAGTACTTGTAGCAAAACTAGATCAAGAGTTTAGTTCAGCAGACTCCCTGGTAACAATTCACCCCTTCCCCATCTGTCAGAAGACTCTATCTGATGTTAGAAGGATCATAACTAAAGCCTGCTTCTGTCTCTCTACTGTTCAATGATAGTCTTTCTAGAAACTTGCACTTCTTTCATAACTCTAGTTTAAATCTGAAAGTAAAATGATAAGTGGCCTTCTCCACTTATTTTCACTGTGGCTTAATAAAGCCAATCTCTTTATTCCACAGGAAGAAGCCAGCTACACCACTGAAGACGGTTAGTTAACTTTACATTTAAAAGTGCTTCATATTTCCTGCAATGTTTACTCTCATTGACTTGTTTAAAGTTGAAAATGATTCTGGCTAAGATGGACAGAGCAACTGAAGCTGCTGCCCAGGTGGTCCAAGAGAAACTACAAATGCTCAGTTAACCAGCGAGGATGCTGCTTCGGAGAGCAATCCTCCTTGCTCCCAGCGACTTCACTGAGTGTGCACAGTAGATCAGAGACCATGCTCAGGATCCCTGCCTCCCGCCATATCTGCCTTCCCCATGGGAACCTATGCCCAAGCCCATCCCTAGACTTGGGAACTAAGGGCTGGGTATTGGGCACACACAGGCTTGGCGGTGGTCGAAACATGGTGAACCTGGGCTATGACGTGGTCCCTGCCCTGTAACCTGACACTTATAACTTACCAAGAAGAGAGAACCAAAATCAGATACCAGAATGCTACTGCATACGCAGGACTGCTCGGCAGGGTCCAGTAGTGACTGATAAAAGAGAGAGGTCCCCAAACCAAGACAGCACCGCCCCTTTCATCAGATACTTCCAGCCAGTTGTGGTTAAATCAGTTGAGCTAGGCAGTGTGCGTTTTCACCTGTTGTTGAAATTGAAAGAACAGCTATGCATCAAAGACAAGTTCTCCCAAAATATTCATTTTAATAAGATTGCTTTACTTTGTATTTCCCCTTCATTGCCATTTTTTTTTTAAACATTTAGACTCCAATTGCCTCTCATCAGAATGCATCAAGCACTTGTGAAGGTAAATTTATGTTATTTTGAATGATGAGCATTTCTGTTAAAGTTGGTTTCATTAAGGACCTATATATAAATGCATTTCTAATTTTTTTTTTTTCATTACAAGGTGATTATAAATATAAAACTCAATTTTCTAAATAAAATGGCCTTTGTTTTGCAACAAGTAGTGGGGAGCAAAGCCAACTAAAGCCGAAACTTACCAAGCAGAATCTTTGGGGTAGCCTACAGTCTACACACTAAATGCCTGCCTGTTTGCAGACAGGTACGCAGTAACCTTACATATATGTAAAGATAAATTGAGAGCCATTCCCATAGCTAACTTCAGTTAAGGTTATGAAAATGTTTACGTCTGCTCAAATGAGTGCACCATTTTTCAAAATCTTATTTTCAAATTCTGAATGTCTGTCTTCTTAGTGCATTTCTAAGGCTTTCTTTCCTTTGTTTTGTCACTGGTCAAAAGTCACATACATATTTTTTTATGAGAATATCCCCCACTTTAAAAACTAGTTACATTTGAAAAATATTAGAGAAAGCTCCATAAATCTCAAAATTTAGAGCATTGTAGAGAAATTCTATTCCTTTACTCACCTAAGCCCACTCTTGTACCCAATCATCGAATCTCATAGTGAGCGTTCTTATCATCATTTCCTGAGTCAATATGGGCGTCTCCACAGCACTGTCTGACTCCTCTGATAATTTCTGAATGTGTACTCTGTTTTCATTGCTGCTCTTAGGGTTCCCACACTGTTTCCCACATCTTTACCCCTGTGTTTTGCTTTCTTCAGCCTTTCCTTTGATGCTTGTGTCTTCCTGTCCTTCCATTCCTTGTGGTCTCTCATGCCTGCTGATCAGGGAGCAAGGAATAATAACAGAGACTCAGGGCCTCTAAGCTACTGAAAGAAGTAAGTACAGCCCTGTGCAAACTTCAAGGCTTTGGGAGCCCTCGAATCCAGGAAAGAAAGGTCTTAGGTGTGTGGTGCCCTCCTTCTCCAAGAGCTCCCAGTACATATGCCTTCTTTTTTTTGGTTTCTTATTTAAAGAGCAGTGGTAATGACCATCCAAACTCAGAGAGGGTGATAAGCATCTTCTTGCTTACCATGGGAAGAAGCCTCCAGAAGCAGAGGCCAAGCTGGTGCGGTCAAAATTCATTAGGCTGCTAGGACCTGTTGTTATTGTTAAGTGCTGTAAAGTTGGTTCTGAGTCACAGTAACCCTGTACAGGGTTTCTGAGGAACAACTGGTAATTTGAACTGCGGACCTTGTGATTCGCAGTCCAGTGCTGATTGTACAGTGCCACACCAGGAGTCCTCTAGTACCTACAGTGTCCACTGTTTCCCTTTTTGAAGTTACTGATTTGTGACGTCATGAGCCAAACCTTTAACCGAGTAGCTTGTCACAAACTTGAAATATGATCCTAACTGCTGTGCACCATACCAACTCTGAAGTGTGTCTTACCTTTTATTTAAATTGTTGAGCTCTTATTACTTTTACTCCTTTGGGGTCCATATCGTTGGCAATAAGGAGCCCTTGTGGCACAATGGTTAAGCGCTTGACTTCTAACTAAAAGGTTGGAGGCTCGAACCCACCAGCCAATCTAAGGGAGAAAGCTATGGCAGTCTGTTTCCATACAGATTGCTGTTGCTGTTGGTAAGTGCCGGCAGCCCGGGAAACCCCGTAGGGCAGTTCTACTCTGTCCTAAAGGTGCACTGTGAGTCGGAATTGCCTCAGTGTCAAAGTCTATAGTTCCCAACCCTTACACCATGCAGGAGACACATCCAGTACCCGATTTTAATCAGACAATATCAATGGCTTAATAGCAACACTCTAGGGAGTGCGGTGGCTCCATATGATAAGCACTGGACTGAAAGCCACAAGGTCCATGACTCAAGTCCACCAGCTGCTCAGCTGGAAAAAGATGAGGCTTTCTGCTCTTGCCAAGATTTTAAAAGCCTCAGAAACCCTATACAGGGTTGCTATGAGTCGGAACCAACTCGATGGCCCATAACTACAACAGCAATAACAATTGACTGTGGAATTTGACATAGATTTCCTGTGCTTTTAGGTTGTTTGTTTTCCTGTCTACTGGTTATAACCCTAGCTCTTCCTTTTCATCCAGGAAAACATAGTGAAATGCAAGTGAGATCAACTGATCTTTCCAAAGTAGACTATCCACAAGCTATTATTTTACTTCTTATTAGTAACAAGTCACTTACACATCTTACAACTCATCAAAACACACCAGGGTTTATAACCTTTGTGTGTATATGGAGACTGTAGAAAGTCAAAGGTGAGAACTAACACCTTCTCCCACCAGTCCCCAAACACAGGTCTAGTCCCTACAGGTTCTGTCCCTAGGTACACTGATTGCCAGGGAGAGGGTGGACACAGGTGTGGTAGTGTGTGCCGAGTGGGAGTCTTGGTCCCTCTCAAATACCACCAGACTGACAGGTGAACAAATCAGTGGCATCAGACCAAATTTGGTTCTGATATTACTAGGTTCAGGAGCTTTGGTGGCACCCAGATAAGCACTGGACTGCTAACTGCAAGGTCAGTCGTTCAAACCCATCAGCTGCTCCTCATGAGAAAGATGAGGCTTTCTGCTCCCATATGATTTACAGCCTCAGAAACTCCATACAGGGTCACTATGAGTCAGAATCTACTTGATGGCAATGAGTTTGGTTTGGGGATTGCTGGATCTGGAGGCTGGGCAGACATTTCACTCTAATCCTAATATCAGAATTTTCCTAATCCAGAAAAACCCATACCTGCTGAGCGCCACCGAGGGTCTAGTCACAGACAAGAAGCTGCACATCTGCCAGCGTTGCCTCCTGCCCCAAAGTAAGAACTCTTTCTTTTCAGTTAAGTTACCATAGACACCTGCATTGCTCTTCCACAAAAGGCGTGGCTTCTAAGTGCTGTAAAGATCTGCTGTTCACTGTTTCACAATTAAATAGAAAAGGTGCTAAATTAACAACAACTTAAAAAAAAAAAACAACAACACAAAAACAGCTGCTTAGATTTGCAAGACTTAATATTCAGGTATCCCCAAATTTTTGAACTTAACTAAAATCGAACCCCTTACTAAAGGCCCCTCCTTATTAAAAATGAAGGAGAAGAATGTTGTTTATCTCAAAGGTTTTGGCGCTGCTCCTATCTTTGGAGATGTTTTATTGGCCATTCATCTTGACGCCTTTATGATAGCAGAACATCTTTGTGTGGGAAGAGTAAACAAACAGTATAAACAAGAAAAACTTGTTCATGTGGTGCTCCATCCTTTAATTGATATGAAATCATTTCTTTCAGACAAATCCATCAAAAGCCCATACCTCTGCCAAGTAAGTGCAACGAAGTCATAAACAGCGGTACCAGGTAGCGGCTAAGGGTGGGTCTTGGCATCTGGCTAATGTGTGTTCTGATACCAATACTGCCTCTTGCAGCTTGATGATCTCAGCTCTGTCTCTAGCCTATTTCCTCGTTTGTAAAATGGGGCTAAGAATCAAGAATCTTGATCTCACAAAGTTGTTTTTAAAAGCAAACAATTTTTAGATAGTTTTTACTTTATATTTTTATTACTGATGTAATACTTTGACAGGTCATATGCCGTTTTTATTCCCACAAAAATTTTAAAAAGCTGTTTTCAATATTAGAAGATTAACTAAAATAACATAAAGGAAGTCCCTGATATAATGGTTGGCACATACAAATCCTTCAGTAAATGATAACTATTTAAATTAAAGCTAAAATGCATTTTAATTATCATACAATAGCTCTACAAAAGGTCTCTGAGAAGAGAGTTTGGCAAATATCTGAATAATTTTCCCAAGACAAACTATCCATCGACTTTAAAGGATGTGAAGCTGGTAAGTCAGGCTCATAGAATGCAACAGCCTAAACCCAGGTTTGCTTTTTATTCAATGTAAAGGGGGAAATACACAAACAAAAACAAAGACCTACCTTAAATGGTTAATTTAAAAAATATCCCCAAAATAATAATCATTTGTTTTTAAAAAAGAATAATTGTCATATACAAAAAAATTATGTGCATGAATACTAAAGACAAATCGGTTTGTAAGGTTTTAATTTGCTTTTTTATTCACCTTAAATAAATAAAACATTAAATATGTTGTTGTTGTTACGTGCAGTGGAGTCGGTTCCGACTCATAGAGACGCTGTACAGGGTTTCCAAGGCTGTAAATCTTTATGGGAGTAGAAAACCTCCTCTTTCTCCCGTGGAACAGCTGGTAGTTTTGAACTGCTGACCCTGAGGTTAACAGCCTGATTTGTAACCACTATGCTACCAGAGTTTTGTTTTTTCTGATTCTTACAATAGAAAAGTAAAATGATTTGACTGTAGGAATTTGTCAATATTGACAAGGATTATACTTTCCATTGTTTATCAATCCAAGTCACTCTTTCATTTGGCAAATATGTATTAACCATCTGCCATGTACCAGGCATTATCATTGTTGTTGTTTTTAAGTATCGTCTAGTTGATTCCAACTCATAGACACCCTGTATGAGCTATTAGAATGCAAAGGTTGGAAACAAAGAGGAAGGATTAGTAGTTGAAAAATATGGCCTTAGTGATAGAAATGATGCTGGAGGTAGCATGACAGAATTTTTCAAGACTAATGACTGCAAATACCATTTTTAAACAACATAAAATAAGACTGTACACATGGCTTCATGAGGTATTTCAATTAATAGGCCAAATAAAACGTTTAGTGCTCTGTTCTGTCTCCTAGTTTATTGTGTAGTTCCTGGAGTCTTAAAAGCTTGCCTCAGATAATATCATTAATAACATCATGTGCAAGTAAAATTTTGCTAAAGATAATTTTAAAATAGCTGCAACAATACATTGACAGAGAACTGCCTGAGGTTCAAGTTGAATTCAGACGAGGTCGTGGAATGAAGGATATCATTGTTTACATCGGATGGATCTTCGCTGAAAGTAGACAATACCAGAAAGATGTTGTTGTTAGGTGTCATCGAGTCAGCACCGACTTATAGCGACCCTATGCACAGCAGAGTGAAACACTGCTCGATCCTAGGCCAACCTCACTACTGTTGCCACGCTTGAGTCCATCGATGCTGCCACTTGGCCAATCCATCTCATTGGGGGTCTTCCTCTTTTTCTCTGACCATCCACCTTACCAAACATGATATCCTTCTCCAGCAACTGGTCCCTCCTGATAATAGGTCTGAAGTATGAGAGACAAAGTTTGACCATCTTGGCCTCCAAGGAGTACTCTGGCTGCACGTCTTCCAAAATGGATCTATTGGTTCTTTTGGCAGCCCATGGCAATATTCTCCTCCAACACCATAACTCAAAAGCATCAATTCTTTTCTGGTATTCCTTATTCACTGTCCAGCTTTCACATACATATGAGGTGATTGGAAAGATGTTAACCTGTGCTTTATTGACTACACAAAGGCTTTCAATTCTTGACAAGCTATGGACAACATTGTGGAGAATGAGTATTCTATAACACTTAATTGTGCTTATGAGGAAACTGTACATAGACCAAGAGGCAATTGTTCAGACAGAACAAGGAGAAACGGAATGATTTTAAATCAGGAAAGGTGTATACCAGGGTTGTATTCTTTCACCGTACATATTCAATATGTATGCTGAGCAAATAATTCGAGAAGCTGAATTATATGAAGAAGAACGTGGCATCAGGGTTGGAGGAAGACTCACTAACAACCTGAGATAGCAGTGATGCAACCTTACTTGCTGAAAGTGAAGAGGACTTAAAATACTTAACTGATGAAGATCAAAGACCGTAGCCTTTGGTGTGAGTTGTACCTCAATGAAAAGAAAACAAAAATCCTTACCACTGAACCAATAAATAACATCCATATAAATGGAGAAAAGATTGATGTTGTCAAAGACTTCATTTTGCTCAGATCAACCATCAACACTCATGGAAGCAGCAGTCAAAAAATCAAGCGATGTACTGTTAGGCTAACGTGCTGTACAAGATCTCTTTATTTAAAGTGTTCTAGAATAAAGATGTCAGTTTGAGGACTAAGGTGAACCTGACCCAAGCCATGTTATTTTCAATAACCTCATATGCATATGAAAGTTGGACAATGAATAAAGAAGGCCGTAGAAGAATCTGAGTTATGGTGTTGGCGGAGAATATTTAAAGTACCTTGATTGCCAGAAGAACAAGCAAATCTGTGTTGGAAAAGTTTGGCCAGAATGCTTCTTAGAAGCCAAGATGGCCAGACTTCATCTCGCATGCTTTGGACGTATTATCAGGAGGGCCCAGTCCCTGGAAAAGGACATCATGCTTGGGAAAGTGGAGGATTAGTGAAAAAGTGGAAGATCCCCAATGACATAGATAGGCACAGTGACATGGAGTGGCAGCAGCAATAGGCTCAAGTATCACAGCGATTGTGAGATTGGTGCAGGACCAGGCAGTATTTCATTCTGTTGTGCATAAGATTGTTGTGAGTCAGTACTGACTTGATGGCACCTAACAACAACAAATAGGGCTTCCAAGGAGTGACTGGTGGTTTTGGACACTAACCTTGAGGTTAGCAGTTCAGTGATAACCCTATTGCACCATACTAGGAACCCACAGGAAATATATTGTTGTTGTTAAGTGCCGAGGAGTCCATTCCACTTATCGCAATCCTGTGTAGAGCTTTCAAGGCCAGAAATCTTTGCAGAAACAGAAAGCCTTATCTTTCTTCCATGGAGTGGCTGGTGGGCTCAAACTGCCGACCTGTGGTATACAGTCCAGTGCTTATCCTCCAGAGCCATGACACCCACAGAAAATGCATAGCAATGAATAAAATTAAATGTTTGCCCTTATAGGATTTATACTCTACTGAAGGAGATAGTTGGTAAAAAATGAACACAGATAAATAATATGTTAGGTAAATACTAAAGTGTTATAAAAAACAAAACAAAACAAAAAAACAACCCACCCAAAACCAAGGGGACAGAGCCTGGGGTGTGGACAGTGATGGAGGCAGAGAGGCTTGCTAATTTACATAGCGAGGGCCTCATATGTAAAATTGGGTAGAATAGCTCCTCCCACATAGGGCAGTTGTAAGGATAAAATAAGTTAATAAGTGGAAAACAGGACAGGCCTGGTACATATTCAGCACTTCGAAAATGTAAGCCATCTGTCAAAACACTGAAACCACCAACTACTGTGTGCTGTGTATCTTGGGGAAGACTGACCACCCACTCGCCTTTGTTGCTCCCACCTGAGAATACAGTCTCCACCTATCAGGACACACCCTTTATTCAAGTCCAGTCTTGTCAGGCCTACAAAGCCTTTAGGGCCTGCTGGAGTCATGGTGTAGCACTGCAGGATAATGCGCTTGACTACCAAATCGGTTTGAACCACAAGTTCAGTGGTTCAAGCTCACCAGCCACTCCTTGGA